AGTTGTAAGAACTAAGAAGCATGCTTACATGTGCAGGAGTGGGAAGGGAGATTCAATGTTGGGATGTCGAATTCTGTTACAACTGCCATTCGTGATAGTGTTCGTGATATGGCCATTGGCAAGACTAAAACAACCGAGAAGGCAGATCGGGCAACGGTTGAGCAGGTATATTGTGGGTTATTTATTTATTACTGCACAATTTTGTGTAACTAGCACCACTTGTTTCTTGCAGGCCCATTTCATGTTTCTGTTTTGCTGATTAAGACATGCTACTTTATATGCCGTGGAAATTTTTGTGTTCTGTTATGGGTTTTGGACTTTCCCCGAATCTCTTCACTGTATAGAGTGCAGTTCCTAATAAAGCTTTGTTCTTTCTTTCAGGCAATCGACCCTAGAACCCGTATGGTTTTATTCAAAATGTTGAACCGGGGCGTGTTTAATGATATCAATGGCTGCATATCAACTGGGAAAGAAGTATATTTTCTTCTCATGCATTTCCTTTCATCTGCTCGTTCATTTTCTTATAAATATAACCTAAAACTGAATATTCTTTCATTTATTTGTAGTCTCCCGAAAGTTCTAAAGCTGTTTTTATTCATGTTTAATTACGAAGGCAGTCCCTTTTGTGTTAATTTTCTCCTTCCAACAGGCCAATGTCTACCATGCTACTAAATCTGATGGGCAGGAATTGGCAATCAAGGTCTACAAAACATCCGTTCTTGTATTCAAGTATGTCTAACTAGCTTTTAATTTTTACCCATCCAGTTATTGTTTCATGTATCTTGTATACAAGCGTATTGGCTTGAGTGAGTTCCAGGAGTCTCTCTCTCTCTCTCTCTCTCTCTCTCTCTCTCTCTCTCTCTCTCTCTCTCTCTCTCTCTCTCACATCATCTGAGTTCCTTATTCAACACACAAACTAAGAGCTTACATTGTCTCTGTAGGTTAGAATACTGATTGTCTGCGAAAAATCTGTTCAAATTTCATCATAATGAGTTTTTTTCCATGAAAGCCCTTACTGTCTCTCGTTCTTCCAGCTATCAATCGAGAAGATAATATCTATTTGTAGCTATTCTGCATGACTGTTTGCCTATACGATTATGTTATTGAAATTTTAAGAGCGGCCTTATTATTTGAACAAAAACAGAGTAGCAGTATTTATCTACGCATGACTCTTTGCTATGCTTTAAAAGTGGAACTTGGAATTACGGATTGTGACGTTTTTCATCAAATACCAACAGGGATAGAGACCGTTATGTGCAAGGTGACTACAGGTTCAGATATGGGTATTGCAAGCACAACCCCCGAAAAATGGTTAAGACTTGGGCTGAGAAAGAAATGAGGAATCTAATGAGGTAATCATATCACTTGAACACCTTGATTACTCTATAACGCAAATATTCAAAGTTCTATTTATGTTAATCGGTGCATAGAACCCCAGCTTACATTTTTGTACAACCTTTGTGAAGGCTGAGGGCAGCAGGAATTAGGTGTCCAGCTCCACTACTTTTGAGGCTTCATGTTCTGGTCATGGAATTTATAGGTACTTCTGTTATATTCATTCAGTAGTCATGGTATATATGTTAAGTTTATTTAAGTCCCGGAGATGATTATAATGATCGTTAGAAGCACAATATCTTTTTTCAACAAAGTCAATGTCGCATCGCTACGGTATGATAGCAGATTTAGTTATATGTTAAAAATAACAAAGGGCAAAAAAAAAAAAAAGGACAAAACAGAGATTGTCCCGGAAGTTGATTTATATCTGCTTCACAGGCAAGGCAGGTTGGGCAGCACCTCGGCTCAAAGACGCTGATTTGTCTCATGATAAGTTACGTGAAGGTTATGTGGAGGTAAATTTAGCTTTTCTGTTTAATTATCTTGTCAGCTTTACTAGAACTACTTTGACCTCTTAATAGAAGAGGTGGATGAAAATTTGCTAGTGCTCTAAATATTGAATATGAATAAAAAATGGAAAAAGCTGAAGCTGCTTTATTCTCTCTATGCCAGATGATAATAGCAATGCGAACATTATATCAGAAGTGCAAACTGGTGCACGGAGATCTCAGTGAATACAACATACTTTACTATGAGGTCAGATTTTTCCTTGTTTTTCCCCCCTTTTCTCCTTTCTAGTTTTGAATTCTGACATTCGAAACACAGAATAGTGATAATTTTAAGTGGTTTTGCAGGGTCACTTGTATATTATTGATGTTTCACAATCAGTTGACCTTGACCATCCTCATGCCCTTGATTTCCTTCGAGAGGATTGCATACACATTTCAGTAAGTATTTTTTGTGCCTATTTATTATATATCCTTTTATTTGGGCATATATTTTGAAGTAGTTTGTCAATAAAGCGACTTAGATTTTGTCTTCATTTTCATGCAGGATTTTTTCAAGAAACACGGAGTAGCTGTAATGACAATACGTGAATTATTTGATTTTATTGTGGATCCTACTATTCAAGATGATTTGGTGGACAGTTATCTGGAAGAAGTATGAAAAAAGCCGCATGGAATTTGTCCAACCTTTATGTATAATCTGAATTTCATCATATTTCAGTTGAAGATCGGTCCAATCATTTCTATTAAATTCTTTACAGGTGCAACAAAAAATCTTGGCTAGAGGTGACACGATATCCGTAGAGGAGGAAATCGCAGATTCTGTTTTTGTGCAGGTATGTAAGCAGCAATCATTTAATTTTAACTAAGGGTTTTGTGCTGGAGGAAATCGCAGATTCTGTTAATTATGACATTGGACCGCTACATTGTTATATCGATCGAGAAGTAAGTATATATTTTTAAATATTCTATCTTATAATAGTTATTATTAAACTTACCTAATTATATTTTACACTAATATATTGTAAAACTTTTTTCTAAAGTTTATTTATTCTCAAATCAATATTATCTTTTTTGTCTCATTAAGCGATTGTTTTTTTTTTCTTTTTCAAATAAACTAATTGAGTTTAGTCGCATAGTCAGACCCCTTAAAATCATATAACATTTGTTATAATAGTAAATTTAATAATTTTTTTCAGCTAATTAATTGATCATGATCCCTCTTTTTTACAAAAATTATATTATCAATATAGTGATTCATATGCAGCTAAATAGTTTTGTAATATTTATTTTATTAATTTTATTAATGATCAATATTTTAAAATGTAATACCATTATTTAACTTATAATTTTAAAATTATATGTATGCGTGTAAATTATAATACTTTATTTACATTTATGCATGTGCCCAAGATCGAATATTAGTCTGGTGTAATTTATTCTAAAACAATTGTGTTATTTGACAAATATGGTGTTAGTTTAATGGGGGAGTGAGAATTTGATGGAGGACAAAGACAATGAGGAACAAGTGTTTAATTTTAGAATCATTCTATTAGTGTTCATTGATTGATATTTACATGTTGATTGTTAATGATTTACAAGTTCTCATTTTAAGAATGGCTAGTTGCCTAAAGGAGAGAAAAATTGAGGTTTATGAAAACTGATTTTTTATGAAAAATCGTTGAGGTTTTATTCTTGTTGCCATTCGACGTAAAACTATTGAAAAAAATGTCATTATGAAAAGTAAATTGAACTCCAAGGGATATTTATTCATTCACTTTTGCAAAAAAATTTTACCTCTCTCTCTCTCTCTCTCTCTCTCTCTCTATAGACCTTCATCCCGAAAACTCTGGACCACGTGAAGAATGCCGAGGAAGACGTGCAGCGGATAATAAGCGGTAAAGACACAGAGGACATGTACTATCAAACTATTACCGGTCTCAAGAAAGCCCTCTCCATCTCCAACTCATCCCAACCGGAAAAGGGGCCGACCCAAGAAAATACCTCTGAAAATGCAAAATCACAGGACTTGCCAGGTGGCGAGTCAGAAACCGAGTCCGAGGGAAGTGATGTTGAAACGAGTGACTCGGATGAGGGCTCGTCATCTGAAAGTGAGAAACAAACGCCGGCAGATAAAAAAGCGGCCAGGAAAGAGAACAAGAAGAAGGTGAAAGAGGAAAAGAGGGAGGCCCGGAAAAACAAAGTCCCCAAGGCCGTGAAAAAGAAGAAGAAGAAGCTGGCGAAAGCCAAGAAATATCGATGAGAGGGGAAATCGCACTCATGTAGGCTATGTAACGTACATTGTTGTGTTTTTGGAAGTGTTATTTACTAATTTTATTCGAGTGCGATGAACAGAAATGCAAAACTTCAGCCTCGAAAAAACAAAAGAAAATGTTAAATTTTCTGGCTTAAAAGGCTATAGAAATTAGAAAGTTCAACTTATGGAAACCAACTACATTGTCCAAACAAATCATTGAATGCACATACAAACACTCACAAAAAATTACAAAAGACATCACAGAAGAAAAAAAAAAAAAAAACACACAACACTTCACTTAGGTAATTGTTAAAATTCTTGGCTAAAAAATTCCAAAAAATGATGAAAGAAAAGGGAAAAAAATAACCCTTTTACAGCATATAAAACAGTCTTATACATACATATGCCCAGAACCACAACAGTGATGGTCATTTCTTTAGTCTACTATACAGATTTACTGCTTTTGGACTGAAACAATTGCCAGCAGCCAGATAGGATGCCTTCATTTTCCCTGCATTTTCGAATCGAACAACAATCTTTTAACAACCGCTCATTGTAATATCTAAAACCAAGATTTTCAGCAGTACTACTTATTGTGGTACATCATATGCAGAGAATCTTATAATGGCTAAACCGAGTTTTTCAGCGTACTATTTGTTGCAGTACATCATATGCAGAGAATCTTATAATGTTAAGCCATTGAGGGGGAAAAAAGAACAAGAAATTCAGTCGATAATCACGATAAATGGCGGGAATTTTCGATAAAATATTGCTGTTCATCTTTACAAAATGCCAACTTTTGTCATTACCACAAAAACCACAGAAAATGAGTGAAAACTTCAGTAAAGAGAGTTGAAGAAAAATTGTATTTTTGCAAAAACACATGTTATCTAAACAGACACATTAGTTCTCTGATTGTACAAATTCACAACAATTTACTGTAGGTAAACTCAATATGGGTATAGGATGAAAAAATAAAAAAACTATCAATAAATTAAATTTACCCCTGAATTACTACAAAAACCCATGATAGAAAAATAATTACAAGTACCTTAAAATACTAACTACCAAATTCCCTCCACAATATCAGAAATTCCCTTGAGATTTCCTCAACATAACTCCCAACAATTTACCAAAAAAAAAAAAAATTATAATAATAATAATAAAAAATGAAATACTCTGTCTCTAACATTTGCTAAACCACAAATAAAATTGCATATATTTATTTGGTAAAATTGCATTTTTAGTCCTATTGTTTAACGCTGTCGCATTTTTAGTCCCAAGATTTCAAATTTTTTTCTTTCAATCCTGTAATTTAGTATTTTGTTGCAAATTTCAGTCCCGAATTCAAAATTATAGAACTTAAATTGCTAATAAAAAATTCAACAAAAGATTTTTTATTAGCAATTTAAGTCTTGTAATTTTAAATTTTGTTGCATTTTCAGTCCAAAAAGACTCAAATTGCATTGGATTTTAAAATCGTAGGACCAAATAGTAAAATGTTCAATTCTTATGACTAAAAAACTATGTCCATTGCAAATGGAGCTGGAAGAGTCATTGTTGACAATTCTTCTGGCAAATGCTAATAATGGATTAGATGAAAATTGCTAAATTAAATTCTAGTGCTTCTTCTATTAGTGAAGTCTCTAGAAAAAAAAAATATACCAAACTGACGCAATGCACCTTGGGTCGCTACGGAAACAACCTTCTTGTATAATTACAAGGTAAAGTCTGCGTACAACTGACCCCCGAGACCCCAACCCGTTTAGGAATATACTGGGTATGTTGTTGTTGTTGTCTTATGACTAAAAACGCCACTACTGGATCAAACCAACCGGGCTAAAATTGCAATTTTTGCCTATTTATTTTATCAAATATTATAGTTTTAAAATTTAGATTATGATATTAAATATGCATACTTGTGAAGATAGCTCAAATTCACAAGAACACCAGTTTCCGGCCAGCATACCTTTGGCTGCTGCTGCCGCCTCCGTAGCTCCGGCCGCTATCGCTGCTAACTCTACTGCTCTCACTATCACTAGAGCCAGTAAACTTCTTCTTCCACCAATCCCTCTCAGGCTTGGGCGACATCGAATTATTGCTATCCCCAATCCTCTTAACCTTCCTCGACTGCAAATTAAACGGGAAACCCATTTTCAGAAACAATCCCCTGTCCTCAAAACCTCTGTTGCGCTTCACCTTCTTCGCGAAAACGGCCGCCCGATCTCTAGCCCTATTTTGCAGACGAGGGCTTTCAACATCATCAATTTCCATTTTCTGTCGGTGATGCTCGACGAGATCTTGCAAGGACAGCTCGTACGATGATTCCGGCATGTCTTTCAGCATCTCCATAAGCTCCCTTTGGCCGGTGGCGATGGATCTTCTCCTCGAATTTGGGGACAGGCAGAGGAGGGGGTGAGACGGGCTCGGGCTGCTTTTCCACAGCGGCGGCGAACAGACGCCGGAGTCGTCGAGCTCTTCGTGGTTGTTTGGCCTGAATTGCAATATCTCGTCGGAGGAGGACCGATCGATGCAATTGTTGCTGTCTTGGGGCAAACGAGGGATTGCAGCAGACATTTGATCAAGCATGGTTAGTTGGTTTTTTTTTTTTTTTTTTTATATATATATATTAATTTTGTCTTATTTATTGTATCTTTGAATGGAAAAATGAAAAATTGGAGGGGAAGAAATTTGGGGTTTGTTTGTTGGTTGGGGTGGGATTTTCATGAATAAATATGAGTGTACTGTGGGTCTATGCTTTCACTCAACTTTATAATGACTCAATTGGTGTTTGCTTATTTGGGTCTACAAAAATATATATTTATGTTATTTCTTAAAGGCAAAATCGCCTCTAATATAGCAATTTTTATCGAAATTGCAATTTAATTATGATACTTTCGTTTTTGTAAATTATATCACAATCTTTAGTTTAATTGTCACAAGTCGGTACACGAGTTACGAAAAAAGTCATAGAAAAATTGATGTGGTCGAACAACAAATTGAACATTGTGATATTGGTTTGTATCAAACTGAAAATTGTGATATGATTTGTAAAAGTGAAAAACGTCACGATTAAATTACAATTTCGAAAAATGTCGTGACTTTTACTGAAATTGCAATTTAATCATGATCTTTTCACTTTTGCAAATTACATCACAGTCTTCAGTTTATTGCAAGGTGGTGCACGGGTTCCGAAAACAATCATAGAAAAGTTTATGTGGTCGAACAATAAACTGAACGTTGTGATATAGTTTGCACGGATTATGCAAATCGGTGCACCGATTTACAACAAATTGAAAATTGTGATATGATTTGCAAAAATGAAAACGTCGTGATCAAATTACAATCTCGAAAAAAATCATGATATAAAGGGCAGTTTTGCCTTTTTAAAAGCATATTTATATTTATTATTGACAAAATTATAAATCTCTAAATTTATTTATCACATTCGGAATTAAATGTTGGATGATAATTAGTTAGGGATAGTATATATTATATTTAATTATTATTTTAATTTTTTTTATTATAGTGTTTTAAAAGTCAAGAGTTTCTAGATGGGGTGGGACAGGTGTGCCCAATTTTTCCATTTTATGAGGTTTTTTGTCTTCGAGCATTAACCTTTTTTTTTTTTTAAGAAAATAATGATGGGTGATGAATTATGATCATCATGTGATTAATCTATATAAAGTTCTTGAAACTTGCATCCAAATGTATGTACTTAATATAATTAATTTTGTTTGGCTATCATTCCCATACAATTGATTATATTGATAACTTTTGTTGCTAACAATTTATTTGTGGTATTTATTTTGAATTATTTTGTAAGTTTCAACAAATAATATGAATTATATTAATAAGATTTCACTCTATTCTCAAAAGAGTAATATAGGTTCATCATTCATAGAGTTATAGCATATCCAACCTGCAACTGATTACAAATTTAGATTTATCCAAATTTTATAATCACAATATAGTAATCACATAAATTGAAAAATAAAAAATTTACAGAATCATAGAAATGATTCAAATGAAATGGTCAAAGAATAAAGTAGATAAATAAATAAATATTATGTCTGTTAGTGCCTGATTTCAGTGGTGCTTAGAATATTTTTTTTTTAGCTAGTTTTAATATAAAAATGAAATTGTTCTATATAGATTGGGACAAGCTTTAAATCCGTATCCTAAGAAAGAAATGACAGCCACAAAGTTTTGTAAACCAAGAAAAAAAAAAAAAAAAGGAATCTGCACCACATAAAAACTGAAAATCTTATGATTAGACCAAACGATATAACTCATGGCCCTTAGATACGTGTAATTAATGTGTGTAATTAATGTAGGGTGTGCAAATCAAATCACACATCAGATAATTAAAGGTTCCAAGTCCAACATATAAGTTTGGTAAGTTATTCTTTCTATTGCCAATTGATTTTAGAATGAAACCTCATTTGGACTTGTATGATGGGCGTGATGGAAACTAGGTTTTGACTTGTCGGTCCTAACAATTTGTATTAGAGCCACGGTTGGTAGCCCAATTGCGATGTGAATGATGTGGGACGTGTTCCCCGTACTAGTCGGTGGACGACTGGCGGATCCGTATGCCTTGTGTCGAAAGTCTTCCTGGCGAAAGAGTGGTCATGCGGCGGGTTCCGTGAGTGATAACGACGGTACAAGATGTTTGGATCGTATGAATTTCGTTAAAAAGACCCAACGTGGTATTGTGTTTGAGGGGAGGTTTGTAGGGTGTGCAAATCTTACATCGGGAAATTAAATATTCCAACTCTAATATATAAGTCTGGTGGACTATTTCTTTTATTGCAAATTGGGCTTGAATGTTTGGCCTTGATGGAGAACTGAGTTTTAAATTGTCGGTCCTAACAATTAATTGGTGAATATTTAGCATTAATTATGGTGAATAGTTTTCCTCATAAATTTTCAAAGTTACAAATTTTGAAATATATTAAAGTAAAGTTTTCGGGTTGTGTTAAAATTAGCATGATCAATAATATTAGTAGAAGCTCTTATGACATAATTTTTATTAAACTAAATAAAAAGACAAAAGTGTTGTTGAATTCTGCAATATTTTGAATGCATTTATGTACTACCAGTTAGTAACACATATACGTGTGACTATCGTTCTATAAAATGTAGGAAGAAAATAGACGCTTAAATTAAAATAACTAATTAATTAAGCGTGTCCAATTATTATTCAAGTTCTAGATGATTAGTCATTTTTTGTTGACAAGCAAATGTATAATATTTATGAGAAGCATCTTTCATGTCAATCTCAGAGTTTACTAATGTCATTACAGAATATAAAACAGTTCACATGATAAATGAACTTCAATAAATTAATAAGCCAACTTCTCGAAAGCTGAATTAAACACGGGTGACATTGGTTATAAGATTTTCTTTTGTTACATTTAGCAGTGTCAAACGGGCCGGTCCGGCCCGGCTCGTGCTGGCTCGCGGTTCAAACGGTCCGGGCCAAAATGGCCCGTATTTTTACGGATTGGGAAATCCATAGCCCGTGGTCCGCCCGCGGATTTTATTTATTTATTTTTTTATGGTATTCGAACTCTTATATATTTTTTTGTTTGTTTATCCTTATATTTACTAGTATATTAATAAACTAGTAAGGTTTCATGTGTAATGATGTTAAATATTTGTCATCTAGTTTTTGTTTTTATTTTTTTTATCAATAGTTATAGGGTATTTACGCGCAGGAACGACTTAATTGACATAAAATATTTTTTGATTTATTAATACTTTTATTATGTAAAAAAATGTTTCATGTGCAAGTTATAAATTAGAAGTACAATAAAAAATACTAAATTTAAATAATATAAAATAAAAAAAACGGGCCAGCCCGCGGGCCAAACGGGGCGGGCCAAATTGGCCCGCGATTAAACGGGCTGGCCAAGCAAAGGCCCAAGCCCGTCCGTTTAAGCGGGCGGACGGGCCAGCCCGCGGGCCACCGGCCCGTTGCTAGTTACATTCTCTAAGACTATCTTTATCACCAACTCAATCAAACTCACCCTAATAATTAAAAATTATTTCTCTCTCATCTACATACACAACTCAATTTATCTTTATCCACAACTCAACTCAACCTAAATATTTATTTTATTTTAATTTATTTAAAAATTACAATTTTATTTCAAAATATTTCAAGTGTGGTCTATATTTGTAGAGAATGAAAAAAATATGAATTTTAATATCATTTTTATTTTTTTAAACAAAAAAATACATTTATCCAATAAAAATGGGACAAATGTCCTATTCTCCACACAATAACGAGTCGCGACCCAAGGTCACAATTTGACGCTCGTTTTAATGACTTTTCTTTTTTTTTTTTCTTTTTTTTTTTATTTTTATGTTTTTTTAATTGGTGACCCATTTATTGGGGGTCACCGTTAAAGATGGTCTAAGTCAAAACACAAAATAGAAAATTTCTACATAAAAAAAAAAAAAAATTATTCAATCTCATCTCGTTTGATTCTCTACTAGTACAACACCCGTGAACTACACGTATACTTCATAAAAAACTAATTTTCCAACAAAATGTGAAAATGAATTAAAATTCTTATTGTAAAAAAAAGTTATAAGTAATTAATAAAAAAGTAATTAAATTTTGAATTTTAAAAATATTTTTATGAAGTATTATTTATTTTCATTTAATATATATTCAATTTTGTCGAAATTAAATATTTAATTTATTCGGTAGTTAATATAAAACACGTGACAACTGTTGGGTTCGATATACCGTACGGAACAGAGTTTACAGCGGAATTTAAAATTTT